TAACTATATGTATCAGTGGAAACTTTAATGTATCAGTGGAAAACTGATAACTTTAATGTATCAGTGGAAAATTTACAAATATATTAATATTAATATTTGCAAAATAAGCTAGTAAAAAAAAGGTCTGACATTCCAAAAGCATAGGGAAAAAATACAGTTGAAATTTATTCCTAAAGCAATTTATTAAATATTTTGTTAGGCATTCCTGAACATTCATCCAAATATATTGAAGGGAAATAAAGTTAATATAAGGATGTTGTTTAAAAATAATTTAAATGTAAAAACGTGTAAATAAATAAAAATAAACCTAAAAGGTCTTTCAGAAAATAAAGGTGGATATTTTTAGATATCCAGGGTAGGAAAAGCTTTTCTAAACATGAGACTAAAGAAGTAAACCTAACTTTGACAACAACTAGATTTGACTTCAACAAAATTAAAATCTATTATTTGACAACACTAGAAAAAGTAAAAGAAAAATCACAAAATGGAAAGGTATCTGCATCAGAGATAACAGAGTTACTATCTTCAGCTTATAAAAAGCTTTAATAAATAAGTGATAAATAAACAAAGGACCCAATAAATAAATGGGCAAACATGAACAAAAGAAATCCAAATGTACATTACACATATAAGATGCCTGTAATCCCAGCTACTCAGGAGGCTGGTCAGGGAACAATCGTTTGGGCTTAAGAGTTCGAGACCAACCTGGGCAACATAGTATGATCCTTGTCTCAAAAAAAAAAACAACAACAACAACGAAAAAAAACCCCACAACCCATGCCTCACCAGTAATGAAGGAAATGTGAAAAATACATGTTTAGATTAGATTGGCAAAGCCTAAAAGAATGATAATATCTAGTGTTGCTGAAAAGCAGAAGAAAACAGGCATATTCAAATAATACTGTTTGTTAGGAGCTAACAATCCTTACACAAGGCATTTTGGCAATAACATATCAAGTCTTAAAAATGTGTACAGGCTGGTCATGGTGGCTCATGTCTGTAATCCCAGTACATTGGGAGGCTGAGGCAGGAGGACTGCTTGAGGCCAAGAGTTTGAGACCATCTTGTCTATATAGCAAAACCTTGTCTCTACAAAAAAATAAATAAATAACCAGGCACAGTGGTATGAGCCTATATCATCTTAGCTACTCAGGAGGCTGAGGCAGAAGGATTACCTGAGCCCTTTGAGGCTGCAATGAGCTATGATCACACCACTGCCTGGCCAACATATGAGAACCTGTTTCCCTTAAAAAAAAAAAAAAAAAAAGTACACAACTTTCAACCACGCAATTTTATTTATAGGGATTTGATCTAAAGAAATAGATCAATTACATAAAATGCAGGTACTAGTATAACAATCACATTACTTATAATATCAAAACATTGAAAACTAAATTATATTAATAATTATGAATTTATGCTGTGCCACAATACATTCATTAAAATTTGATTACAGAGACTTGGACATATTAAATTGTAAGGAGTTATTCCTACTTATAAGGAATTAATCCATATTTGATTCTTAAACTTCCTTCAAAGTTCTTAATTGTGTTTTCCATGCTAGTTTCCTCTGACATTCCAATATCTTTTAATGAAAGTGCAGAAACCAGGAAATATCATAACAACGTCAAAAAGCAAGTAACAGAACAGAGTATGAATACATACATATAAAAGGGTATATATGCATACAAAAGGTCTGGAAAGTTATATATTAAAATGCTAATAGCAGCTACCCTGACTGGTTGAGCATGAGGGGATATTTTTCCTCTGTACATGTGAATTAAATAGTGCCAAATCAGAGGACTGAGTTGTAATCACATAATACATCAGGAATGTAATTAAATGTATATTCAGAGACAGCATATGTCTATTCATTCTCTTTGTGAAAGATTAAAAAAATAGGTTGGAAAAACAAAAAGGAAGTCTAAGAAACAACAAAAAGAAGTAGAGAAAAAACATGAAGTCGGTTTTTTTTTTTTTTTGAGACAGGGTCTTGCTCTGTCACCCAGGCTGGATCGAGTACAGAGGCATAATCAGCTCACTGCAACCTCAAAGTCCTGGGCCCAAGCGTTCCTGCCACCTCAAACTCCAGAGTAGCTGGGACTACAGGTGTGAGCCATTACACCCAGCTAATTTTTTTATTTTTGTAGAGATGGAGTCTCGCTATTTGCTCAGGCTGGTCTCAAAGTCCTGGCCTCAAGCAATCCTCCTGCCTTGGCCTGCCAAAGTCCTGGGATTATAGATGTAGGCCATCAAGCCCAGGCCAAGATATCTTAATAATATAGTCATATAGTTGTTATTATATATGTTCAGAAAAATTTAAAAAGAATAACAAATAAAAAACAGGACATGTAGTGTGACCAAAAATTATACTTAATGGTTTACACCTTTAATTTTATACTAAAGAACTGCCTACTAATGTTAGTAAGTGCTGGAATACGGCTATAACTTATCAAAATTCATATTAAATGTCTCTTAAATTCAAAATAAAGGGAGCAGAAATAATGATAAAGAAAATCACCTTGGGTGTTAAGAACTACAGAACAACAGTGATTTCTTTGTAGGAGAAAATTATTCTCTGAGCTATGCCAGTAACTAGTGATCTGGGTTTGAAATCTCAATGTTTTCAAAATCATCTCTAAAGGAAATCCTAAAATAAAATGCAATATTGATGTATCTACCTAACATAAAAGAAGGTGCAAAGTTTAAAAGTTAAATATACCAATACTCCTCTCCTAAAGTTTATCCGTAAATAAGAACTTCATTTATTAAGCATGAGTCTACAGATATAAATAATCAAATAGGGAAGGTACAGCTCTTCCTTACAGAAGAATTTCAATTAATAAATGTTAAAGAAATGAAGAAAATAAAAATATCACCATTAGACAAGCTATAACTGTTGTGAGCAAGATCCAGCAATGGATGCTAAAATCAGTGAGTAAAAGTTTGAGGAGAAACAGAATATTTGAGTCTCATAGTATCTCTTCCAACATCTTTTTTAAGTACCAAGGGAAAAATGATGATTTTACAATGAAGAAACCCAGTAGAAACTACCATAACCAAGTGATCATGGTTAACATCACCAATAATAAGATGTATCAACATCTTGCAAACCCTGAGAAGGGCACAACATCACTTCTGTGAAAGTCTTGCCAAAATGCATAGCCTAAATCTAATGAGACAAAATCATCAAACCCAAATCGAGAGGCATTATACAAAGCAATTGACTAGTAGTCTTCAAAATTTTCAAGGAAACTAAGAAAATATGACAATTAAATGCAATGTGGGATCCCAGAACAGAAAAAGGACATTAGTGAAAAACTAGTGAAATTTGAACAAGTTCTATAATTTTGTCAAGAATCTTACAGCAATGCCAATTTCTTAATCTGATACATGTACTATGATTAAAAAGACGTTAACATTAGGGGAAGCAGGGTGAAGGGTCAATGGGTACCTCTCTGTACTAATTTCACAATTTTTTTGTAAGTCTAAAATTATTTCAAAATAAGTTAACAGAAAGAAGAGTATTCTTATCTACTTAATGAATAGATAAGACTGTTAAATAAAATGAATAGATAAGACTGTTAAATAAAATGAATAGATAAGACCGTTAGATAATACTGTTAAATAAATTTTAAAAATTATTTGTAACAAGCCTGGCTAACTGCCATCTAAAACTGTATTAATGGGCCAAATCACTTAAACCTCTCTGAAATACTTCGTAAAATGGAAATGACAACACCTATTGTACACTTAGTTCTTCTCTGAGGATTAGAAGTAACTTTCTTTGTGACTGAGCAAGAAAATAGTAAAGCACAGGGGTTAAGAGCATGTGATCTGGCGTCAAACAGACCTGGGTTCCAGTATCAGCTTTGCTATTTACTAGCTCTGTGTTCTTGAGCAAGTTATGCAATCCTTCCATGCCTCAGTTTCCTCCTCTGTACAAAATGCAGGTAAATGTTGAATTTAGCTTATAGGGATCTTGGATAGAAAGCTAGGATAAAAGTAAATAATGAATACAAAGCATTTGACTCAGCATGTAGTACAGAGTAAGAGTTCAATAAAGATTTAAGATATAACAGAATAAATGCTGAAGACGGGAGTCACTGTTGCTAAACTTAATAAACTTAGTGAGCGTAAATATGCATTGCTAAGTACGATAATTCACATTCATAATGACTGCACATAACTAAGAAAGAATAAAACTAAGTTTGGATATTTTCTTCATAAAATAGAGGTATGTCCAGTAAATGCACAAAAGATTTTTCACACAAAGTAGAAAAACAACACAAGTGTTTTAAAAAACACACTTTCAGCCAGCAGGAAAACCTAGCTATTTAAAATCATTAGATTTTGGAATTAAGAGACATTAGAGCTATTTAAACAAGCAAAGGCCTGGGACAAACAAGCTAGACACATATTAAAATTTATTATTCTAAATAATGAAAACTGATTTGATGGCAATATTTTTTATAAATGTTATGTGCCCTTATTTTATTTTTATATTAATATAATACCAGTTTATTAAAAATTATTTAAATACAAATATAAATTTCTACTCACACCAGTTTTCCAACATCTACTATTAACATAGTTGTATCAAGTATGGTCTCTTTTTAATCAAGTAGTTCCCTAATGTATTCTAAGTTTCAGGATCAAAACCATTAAATGAAAAGACAATTACATAATACAACATTATAACATAATTCAATAAAACCCAATCTCAAAGCTAATAATTCAACTACAGTTAATATTTAGATTTGTAACATAAAAATGCTAATATGATCAAAAGATTTCAAACAGTAATCACCTGACTGTGCAACCATCCCCTGATGATATCAGATCACAGTTAAAGAAATTCTCAAATCGGTTACAAAAAATGGTTTTCTACATATTTCTTTTATACTTGGGAATATTCTAAAGCCCATGTCATATCTCTGTACTTTCATGCAGTAATCCAAAACCCTTCATAGGTATAACAAATAAAACTGCACACTTACCAGCACCTTGGGGCCGACTTAACCTTACAGGATTAATTTCAACTTTTTGGACATGAGGTGGGTATTCTTTCCTAGAAAAGGAAATTCATATAGTTTTATTCTAACAGAAAATATGGTTTTCAAAATTAAAAAGTGCATACTTATATTATTAAAAGCAAATCACAGCTTCTTAGCCATATAAAAATGATACTATAAAACTGTACTACACAAATATACAAATGTTGAATACATTATAAGATCCCTAAGGACAGTGACTCTATTTTACTTAGAATGTCAATCTATCGAGCACATAAATCAGATTGTTGAATAAATATTTGATAAATGAATCCATTATCCTTTCAAAGTAGTCACTGTGAAAAGCTATATACATTTATTCCTCAAATGCACAAACCTTTAGAATTTTTGGGGGGGAATTACCTTCATAATCAGCTTATAGAAATTATATTAAAAACTCATAATACTTCATATTCATATATATTTTGAATAAAAAAATTCTCAGCTTAATAATACTCAATTTGACCAATTTTACTGTAAATGTATTTTACTTGTTTAAAAATAAATCAGTAAATGAAGAAATAAATGTTGAATATGGTTGTCTTGAGAATAATTCTAAAATCAGAACAAAAAAAATGTTATGTACAAAACCAGCACTCATGGAACAAGTATTTTAGTCTCATGATATGACTACATATGGCAGCGGATATTAGTATACTTGTTTTAAAATATTACTTTGTCAAATTTCATATACAATTGATTTCAACGATTTTAAACATAAACTTTAGTAACTGAGGGTCCTAAATACTATGACATAAATCCAAATAGACAACCAATTTTTTTTTAAAAAAGCAAAAACCCTGTAGCTAATTGTGGGATAAAAGGATTGTATACAGAGAACCTCAAAAAAGTGCAACAGACCAGGGAGCTACAATAGCTAGATACTTTCCCACCCTAAATAAAAACTTCTAAAAATATTCCCATTTAACCAGGGAATTAAAAATACAAGGGGCTATTCTATTTATTTGTATTGCTACTCTCATTAATGATCTGTATCTTCTATTTATTAGAATAATGCAATTCAGTTTAAACAAAAATCCCAAAGAAATTTTCTTATAAGAATTCATATTTTGACATTATAAAATTCACAGCACTTAAAATGAAAACAAAATATGAAGATGACATAAAAGAATAATGAGTCGTGATAGCAGTATACTGTAATAGGAGGTGGCAAATATTAAATGTTATGTGCCAGGTACTATTCTAAGTGCTTTGTATCTATTGAATTCCTTTAATCTTCATAATAACCTCATAAGGTAAATACTATTATTAGCACTTTATAGATGAAGAAATTGAGGCACAATGAGGTTAATTAACTTGCCTATTGTCACACAATCATTCAATGGCAATGCTGGAGTATGAATCCTAACAAACTGCATCAATATTGATGAGCAGAGCAATATCTGGAACAAGTGGGAAATTTCCATCTTGCCAAAATTTTAAGATTTGTCAGGTTATAAGTTATGAAGATGAGAATAGTAATAGTCCTACAAGAAAGAAGGTAGGTGCCAGGCATTGGCATGCACCTGTAATCCTAACCAGCAGAGAGGCAGCGGAGGGAGGATCACTTAAGGCTGGGAATTTGAGTCCAGACTGGGCAACACAGTGAGAACCCGTCTCTTAAAAAAAGGAAAAAGAAGGTAGGTTTTTAGCTCCTAAATATCAGGATTAAAATAAAATGAATGTTTTTACATTCCATATACTTTCGCTTTAAAGAGAATATAAGGTATCTTATCTCCAAATTGAATAAATGACTTAACCCCCAATTTTTATAACTCTACACTTTAGAAAAATTAAAACAACTTTAAAATGCAACACAGAGGCAACTGAATCTGCAGCAAAATATACTATTGTGGTAAACTCCCCAGTAACTGAGTATATCATATATATTTAAAACAGTGGACAATACATATTTTGAAATAGTGAAGGTTATCAACAAGGAAAATAATTATTTGACAGTTATAAGTGGCCACAAAATTTGGAACTATGGATTTTATTTTCAGTTCAAACCTGATTACTTTTCTGGGATACTAAAAGCACAGGTTTATTCTGTAAAAATAACTAACAAATCATCTGAGATGGCAAATCATATATGTCTGCAAAGATTGATGAAAATGCTACATTAACTCTCCGTATTCTTTGCAGTTTGACACAGTGTATTGAATCATGCATTGTTAATATGGGACAATGTGCTAAATACATCGTGTAATATCCACAACCTTATATACTATAATGTAACATTACACTATTACATATGTTTCCTTATGTTTCCAGATTTATGTCCACCCTGTTTTCAATATTTGTTATGTTTTCTTACACAAACAGAATAAATTAAGTTTTATTTTCAAAAAAATAAGTTGAAGAAATTAAAGCATACCTTAAATACAATAAAAGAATTTCAAGATAAAAATAGAATGTTTGATGAGAGAATTAAAATAATTTTCTAGCCATAAACTATCTTATTTTCTTTAAAATTTAGTTGTTTTTGCAAATTTTTTCTAGATGACCTAAAATCAAAATTTATGTTAACTTCTTAATTTGAGGGTTATATTACTCTTGCAGGTACAAATTTCAAACTCCAAACTCATATGAAGCTCAAGCCTAGGATTTAATCTCAATGGGTATTTCTTCTCCACCCAAACTAAGCAGAGGCAGAGAAGCTTCTTTGTCATCGTAGGCGGGGAGGTTTTTTGCTTCTCAGGGTTTGTGTTTTCTGTACAAGTTTTAGAAACTCCACTATATAAACATAAGATTTTATAAGCTGCATAAGATGGACAGCCTTTATTTCTCGATCCTAAACTTTTTACATAACATCAAAATGCTTTATTGTTAAAGGTAGGATAAGATCAGCTACAAAAGTCTTATTTTTAGTAAACGTAATTTTGAAAGAATTTTAGATTTGCAGAAAATTTGCAAAGACAATTCAGAATTCCCTTATATTCCTCACCATAATATTAACACCTTAACAGTACCATCACAAATGTGTCAAAAAAGAAACCAACACTGGTACACTATTATTAAGACTTTATTAGAATTTTACCACCTGTCCCACTAACACCCTATTTTTGTTCCAAGATCCAATCCAGGATACACTGCCATTAAGTCACCAGGTCTCTTTATTCTCCCCTCTGTGTTTCTCAGCTTTTTGTTGTTCTTCTTCGTGACCTTGACACTTTGGAAGAGAACTGGTCAGGTATTTTATAGAATTACCTCCAATCTAGGTCTGTCTGATGTTTTCTCATGATTAGACTGAGGCTGTGGGTTTAGGAGAATATCACAGATGTGAAGTGCCCTTCTAATCACATTGTATCATAAGGTAAAGTGATCAGTATGACATCACTGGTGATGTTAAATTAACCTTGATCTCTTGGCTGTTTGCCAGGTTTCTCCACTATAAAGTTACTATTTTTCTCTTTCCGTACTCTCCTTGGAAGCACGTCAGTAAGTCCAGCCCACACTCAAAAGGAATGGGGTAATTAAGCTCCACTTCCCGAAGAGGGGAGCATCTACATATATTTTTGGTATTCATCTGTAAGAAACAGTTCTCTCCCAGCACATTTTATGCAGCCTGTAAAATCTTATTAGCAAATCCAGTACTGTATCAAAAGTGGTATTACTTTCAAGATTGCTAGGATAGTTCAATAAATAAATGATTTACTTATACATTTACATCAATATGACTCGAGGATATTTTATACTTAGGGTTATAATCCAACTGTTACAGTTCCAGCCTTTGGAAGCTCTTTCAGTTGGCTCCTATGTTCCTTTGATGTGACTCTATCCTTTTGTTGTTTTCTTACTGTAATATTAATAAAATATATACAACACAAAATTTACAAAAATATGCGTAAACATATGTAAACAAACCTTCTCTCTCTCAACTCTATACTAATTTGTGTGTCATCCATGCCAATTGTCTCTGTATCTTTTCAATGTTAGTATATGTGCTGCTGAAGTGAGCACCCTTTTTTTTTTAGTACTTGCTAGGTTTCTGGCATCACATTCATTTTGTGTTTTACCTATCATGTCCCTAGAATCAGTCATTTCTCCATGTTCTTTTTATGGGAAAATGATATTTAGAAGCTACCAAGATCTGGGCATTTTATTTGTTTGTTTTTTGCCTTGCTTTAATGATAGCTCTTCTTATTGATTTTTCCATTACAAAACAGATGTCAAAAGATGTAAATTCTATAAATCAAATGTATTCCTTTTACAGCTACAATCCATTATTCCAAACATTTTAAACTGATAAATCAGTTTAAATTTTAAGATGACGTATTAAAATCTCTTACAATTGTATTCTAACCAAAAACTTCTTTCATTTTAAATATCATATGGGAGGAGTTTTATACATTTATTTGTTATAATATTCTTATAAATTGTGCCTATTAACAAAATGTGCTCCTTTATCTTGTCTAGTGTTTCTAATCTTTAATTCCATCTCATTTTTTATTAAAATTCCACTCATGCTTTCTTTTTGTTTGCATCTCTAACAGCCCCAAACAAACCTTTACTTTCACATTGTTATTTTAGCCTGATTCTTGTAAACAATATAGTATAGCTGGGTTTAATCTAACTAATTTGTCTCTTATTACATATATTCAACTTGATTATAATTATTATAACAGCTGATGGACTTCATATTTTCCTTTCCTCTTACTTCATTAGCTATATGTTTACCATTATTTCATTTTGTTTTCTCATTTCTTCTACTTTTAAATAATTTACACTATTGCTTGCAAAATGTACTATTCATTTGTTTCCCCCCTCCCCAACTTAACAAATGAATAGTTACCTTCCCACTCTCAACCCTTATTACACTTGCATATTTCTGTTTTCTTAACATCTATCAAGATTCAAACTATTTCCTCAAGCTAAGTTCTATTGCATCCTTCACGGCATAAAACCTTCAAAATCCTTTTATTTTTCCACCACAATCTTCCAATTCCCTCCAAAAAAAAAAAAGATTGGAAGATTGCTTTTCTTCTGCCTTTTTACTTCCTATACTCCTAGATTT